AGATATCTGTGGCTGCACATCCGTGAGACCAGGGTCACCAAGCTCCCGGTGCTGAAGGAATCCGGTGGGGCGCAGGTGCAAGTCAAGGAATGTTTCGAGTACAAAAAGCTGGAGTATGTGGTGATCGAGGCGGCCACGGAGCTCGTGGCCAGCAGCGGTCCCTACCTCCTGACCCTGGAGTTCTCGGGCTGGCTGAATGGCTCCCTCGTGGGCTTTTACAGAACGACCTACGTGGAGAATGGGCAAACCAAGTAAGCTTTTCTGCTTTACCTCCCCTAAGCTCACATATTTGCTTTGCATTTCTTTTCTCTCCTTTTCATTTTTTGCCTTTCATTTGCTTTTTGTTGTGGTTCCGATCTTTATCGAAGCTTGGTTTCAATTCTGCCTATTTGTCTGGGAAGCAGAAATCCTTGCTCTATTGTATTTTTTAAATCCAGCATAAGAGTTGAAAGGATTAAGTGATTTGTATGGAGTAAAAACAAAAAATCATGTCTTTTTTTTTTTAATTAGGAAAAATTCTAGCCTTCATTTTTACATAAATGTCTCAGGTTTCTAAGGTATAGGTGTGTAGTAAATTTCACAAGTCATCTTGTGCTAGAAGACTGAGTTTAAGCTGGATTTTAGACATGATGTCACTAAATTTAAGTGAAAGTAAGTAGATATCAATTATAATTGTCTGTTTTGTCAGAGAAGAGATGTTGAAAGATTGTGTAATTCCACAAAGATGGGTTTATGCCTTTATCTGAGAAGGAAAGGTTTCTTTTATCTCCTGTGGCCAGAAGCAGGTTTTACACTTAAGCTTTCAATAAATACTCACTGAGTCCACACACCTGGATAGATCTTTGGGGTTACTGTCCTTTGTTCAGTATGCAGTGATAATGCTAAGCCTTTTACAACCTAGAAAATCATATTAATAGTCAAGGACATATAAGATATTTTTCCTCCCCACAGTTGCCAAATGGATAGATAAATAGATATGCAAATATATATGTCAGTGCAAGTGTGTATATATGTAAGTATATATGTAAATACAAATATTTATGTGCAGATATGGTTATTTGCCTTGACTTTAGATCTGAGCCTGTTGCTAACGGTACGTTAAAGGCAGAAATTCTGTCAAGGAAGTCAGAAACTTTTCACACTAGAGGTGTGGCTCTTGCATCTCAGGCTATACCTGAGATGTCACTGAATTTAAAACTATTTTGAACGTTGCTTACACAGATTCTGAACCGGTAACCAATTAACAAAGTCTGGCACCACAGTTCACCCATGTCTGGAGTCAGCCGGTACTAGCCCTGGCTTAAGTTTTTCTAATTATCTTTCAGAGCAAAGCAAACCTTGTATCCCATTTCTTGCCATGGTTCAGAGAGACTCATGGACTAACGTGAAATATTTCAGTATCCTTAGATGACTGTATCATATAGTCATCAATTGAGTAGAAGGGATGGTTTGCAAAAAAAAAAACAATACTTGGAGGTAACATGCTCCCAGAGACCTGCATCTTAATATCACTAGTTATAAAACAAATTTCTTTACTATTTACATATTTCCTAGTTTATAGCAATTTCAAATGTTGAAAGCATTGACAACTATTAAAAGGAAATTCAAAAGAATCCATGAATTTCACCACTCAGGGGTAACCACCCTTGTTAACATGTCTGTATATAGTCTAGTATTTTTCTTTTTTAAAAGACTTATTAATTTATTAATGCTGGGGTGTAGGCCAGAGGTGTGGGG